AAGTTGGGGTACTCGGAGTTTGCACCCTCCTCCAGTACCCCCATTGGTCCGGTAGCCTGAGTGTTCTATTTTGTGGTACATACACGGCTGTGAGTACATGGAGGAAGGGGCTGTGCGCAGGATTGTTTGAGGACGATCCGAGAATTTTAATAGATGTATAGATGTATCCGATGGGATAGAATTAGGATGAATGAAGAAGTGGGTACGATGGCAGAACTTCGTGGAGGGGACATCTGGCAAGGAAATGTCTGGGGAAACCATGATCCCGATGTCGCAAACAAGGGGGGAAAGAGTGGAAAAGGAGGGAGGAAGGGATAATATGACTTAAGACATATATCTGATCCGTGAGCCATCCGGACCATTAAAAAAAAAGGAAAAAGAAACGGAAAATCTGCTCAAAAGTGCGAGACCATTAAATATATGAAAAATCCACACGGGGGTGCGCTGTGTGTGTGTTTGTGTGTGTGTGTGTGTGTGAGAGAGAGAGAGAGAGAGAGACTCCCCCCCTGAATAATCAAGTGCGGGATGCGTTTCGATCGGTTTCGTATCTGATCCGTTGTCCATCGGGACCTTAAAAAAAACACAAAAGGAAATGGAAAATCAGTTTGAGGCTACCGGCAGCATTGTGTGGAAAGTCAGCATTGTGTGGAGAACTGGCACAGCGGTGACAGTTGAAAAATGCGATGAATTGCCACTACCACCTATTTCTTGGTTGAAACATTTTTTTATTTAAAATTTTAAATATTTTTCCTATAAAGATCACAACCAAATCTACCGACCCACCAATCTTGAGGTTTTTGTAAATATTCTTCTGAGCGTGAAAATTTGCTGAAATCAGGGTGCTTTTCTCGTTGGCCCACAAATTGTAGAGTGGGAGAAAATAAATTATGTCAGGGCTAGTTGATTTTTTTTTTCATTTTCCTATTATTTTTCCTGGAATGGAAAGATCATGACCTAAGCTACAGGATCTCCAATTTTCAGATATTTTCCTCCATTTTCATGAGCGTGAAAATTGCCAAAGTTGGCACATGAAAATTGCAGGACTGGACCCGCCTGCGCCTATTTTGATGGCCCCCCTAGAGAACCGCTCCGCACTCAAAGAAATGCCACTTTTCAGTGTCGGGTAGAGTGGTGGTTGAATGGAGACCCAAAGAAAAAGAAAAACGCTGGAAGTGTGAGCGAGGATTTCCGGGGGAAAAAAGGTGAGTCGCATTCAGTTGAGAGAGAGAGAGAGAGAGAGAGAGAGAGAGAGGGAGAGAGGGAGCAGACAGCCTCTTGAGCAGGATAGTACGTGGGGACAAATTAGAAAGAAGGGGAAAAAAAAGCAGAAAATCTGCAAGCGTGGGCGCACACCAGCGCGCGTGCGCACAAGAGAGTGTGTGTGTGTGTGTGTGAGAGAGAGAGAGAGAGAGAGAGAGAGAGAGAGAGAGAGAGAGAGAGAGAGAGAGAGAGTCCGTCAACCTCGTTGTTGTTCAACATCCTTGCATGATCACAAGTTATGGTGGGTGATGTGTCCCACACGTACGAAATTGCGTCCACAGAAAAGATGGGAAAAAAAAAATGGGAAAATCTGCGAGCGTACGTGCGCACCAGCGTGCAACAGAACACGGGCAAGAGAGAGAGAGAGAGAGAGAGAGAGAGAGAGAGAGAGAGAGAGTTTTCAACATCCTTGCATGATCACAAGTTATGGTAGGTGAATTGTCCCACACATGAAATTGCGCGCACAGCAAGTAATGCTTTGCGCCTCTCAAGGATCGACCTTTGCAATAGTCAAGAGATCCGAGTGGTTCACTGGCTCCATGGAAGTATTGTAAATCACCAGCTTCTGAAATAATTTTCATGTTGGTATGGGAGAACCGCTGAAAGCATATAAGTAGGAAACCCCTCTAGGAAAAAAGTTATCTGCTGCAAGTAAAGGCGCTGAGCCCTCTGCTGCCGGATCTATGTTGTCCATAATGTTCATCAAGTATTTGTTTTATGAGGTGTTCTTTTTTTTTTCACCTGTTTTTCTTTGGAAATAGAGGGTTGTGAAGTTAGTGACAGTCGGTTGGGATGCGGAAAGTGGAGGAGGCAAAGGAAGAGGAGATGGAAGAAGAGGTGGAAGAGACGAACAAAATGGAAGGAACAATCGTGGCTGCTCAATTTTGTCCTTTTTGTCTTCCTTTTTTCTTACCTTTTTTTTTAGTGCGTAGTCTTTCATCTGCGATGGTGGCTGCTTGGCAGTCCTTTTTCTGCCGGTGGGTCTACGGGCCTTCTGTAGGACCGCAGTAGTGCGGAGGGTGTGCACTTTTGGGAAGTGCATCATGGCTATCATTTTTCACATTCTATAGGAAGGGATGTTTCGTACACCACTGGCAGTCTTTTTTCTGTCGGTGGGTCTACGGGCCTTCTATAGGACCGAAGTAATGCGGAGGGTGTGCATTTTTGGGAAGTCCATCATGGCTTCTCCACGTGAAAAAAAAACGGAATCGCATAAGGGGTCGAGGCCCACTCCCGCACGTGGCGTGACCATGGGCGGTGATGCCCGGGCCCGCAAAATAAACAGCAATTTGTCTCCCTGCTGTGCTCTTCACATTCGATGATAAAATCTGAACTACATTGGGTGGACGGATAAAGTGTCGACGTTTTCTAGATTTTAAATGAAACAACAAATCATTGATGGCAAATGAAATGTCGGCGACAAAAGAGAGCAATTCGTCTCCCTGCCGCTACGAGTAGGCTGATGTTGTTTCGGGCCTATGAAACAAAGCCTGTGTAACGTAGGGTTATATCAAGTCTGGGCATACCGCCCGTCTGCTGCAAAAGAAAGTGGGTGTGTGTGGCACACTCGTGACACACTCGTGACATAATTGCCACCTTACCCTCGTCCAGTCTTGTGATATAACAAACTACAGGGTACACACCCGTGCTGCTCTCTTGGTAATTCTATCGGCATCACACGTCCCTCCTCCTGGTGCTTTTGCTCGACAAGTAGCTTCACCTCATGTTGCC